CCATGGCTTATTGGGCTGCCACGGTCGTTAGTTTGAATCCCGTGTTACGTATATATGTTTGTTATGTACCTCTAATTATTTTTTTTTTTAAATTATCAACTACGATGTTGCTAGAGATAATATAACTATCCACAAATGACACGTAACTCCTTTTTTCTCAGGTTTGATGCAATACAGCCAGTTTATATTAACATTATCCGTGACCCAATAGATCGTTTCGTTTCCAATTATTATTTTAGACGATTTGGTGATGCACAACATCCCCAGTACATAAATCATTCTATATCTGACAGATACTTGGTGAGTTGAAATAAACTATATTCTTTCAAAAAACACACATGACTGCACGATTTATATATAGGCGTGATGTATTGTTATTGTATTTCAGACAAAATGATTTTTAAAACTATAATAACATGTGTTTGATTATAAATTATTTCTACTAGTTACACCCATGTTGGAATATGTGAATTCAAGACGGACATTTAGCTTGTTCCGTCCTCGCACTGGAAATATGTCATACTTTAACAAATCTTAGACGTACATGGGCACCGAGATCTCGAGAGAGCGAGAGCGCCACGAGACTTATATTTGTCCTCTAATTGTGTTCAATTTTTCTTGTCACTGTTTCCTGTCCCTATGTACTGATAGCATTGAGTCGCGATGGCTAACCATAAACCTAGCTTCTAACAAGTCTCGCCGATCTCTTGTTCTCAACGAGATCTCGGCGGCCATTTTGTGTCAAAGTTTATTTGTCAATGAACACGATGACAAGTAAACGCGCTGATAGTACTATTTCAATTGAATGTTTGTCTATTCTAGACTCTGGATGAGTGTGTTCTATATAACAAATCTGAATGTAGTGAACACCGGCTTTTCTACGTAGTACCGTATTTCTGTGGTCAGGATCCACGGTGCAGGTAAGTTCTAGCTCCAAAAAAATGCGCGAACTTTAACTCTACCTGCACAAATTAAAGTTTACAATTAAGGTTAAGTTAGGATGAATTTCACAGTGGATATTTTGTTTTGAGATTTTTTCCAGAAAAAAATGTTTCGATTTGTCAAAACTATGCCCGGATATTATGCTTTCTGACTTCAAACGTATTGCGATCAAAGAGACGTCAGAAAAGTAAAATGTTAGATGCAATCATAGCGGAAACAAATAGTCTCTGCGAATTTTCGTAATTATCATACGTATTGTTTTAGTTTTAACAAGGTATTTAAAAATCGATTGGCCCGCAATTACACAAACTCCGGACACCGCCCCACCACACAACACCATGCTCCGCAAAGAGTTAAAAGATTGATCGAGATAAAATAAGCTATATAAATTTGGAAATATCATATCTTTGTTTTCGTTGACAATTTTTTGTTTTAAATATACTTAATCAACAACCGCTGGTTTATTACTCAAAACTCCAAAAATGTGATTACCCCGAATTTACCAGGGATTCTATTTCAGGAAACCAACAGAATGGTCTTTGGAAAGGGCTCTCTTTAATTTAGACAAGCATTATTTACTGGTTGGATTTCTGGAAAAACTCGAAGAAACATTACAGGCATTGGAATTATTACTCCCCGACATATTTCATGGCGCCGTTGGTCTTTTGAACAAACCAGGTACGTTTGCAGTGCCATATCTTTACATGTGTGAATTCAATTGAGGAATATGTAAATTACGGTATTGTGTCTGCTGTCATTACATAGTTCCTTCGTCAACAAAAACATCAGAAATACTGCAACTATACACAATCTAATGCACAACCAAGCCTCCATACATTTAATAAATCGAGATTTTTGGGGGGAAACATGTAAACATATATGTAAAGTATTTTAACATCCTTCAACATCCGGGCACAATATTCGTTGACAGTGAATCGCCGAGCACAAACTTGCTCGCTCACACATGGGTGTGTTGTTTACTGTTGTCCGGGAGTACAATGAAGCAATCGATACGCGTGTATGTTTTCTGTCGAAACGCTGACAACTCGTGACTAGGTGCTTACTTAATGTATTATTTTATACATATTTTCTTCTTTAGCAATGGAAACGAAAAGAGAAAAAACTGTGTCGTATAAGAAAACACTACCGTCTGATAACGTTAGACAGATATTGAGGTCGAGAATGGGTTTGGAATATGCGTTTTATGAGGCCGCATTACGGAAATTCAACGACATTATGACATTTTGATTACCTTTTTTATTTAAATTAATTTAGTTTTTTTTGCAATTGTATATGTATTTCATACGTGAGTAAGTACCTCATTTAATTATCCGAATAATTAATATTGATATTTAATAATTACCTGACTATACAAAAACAAAATCAGCGACCGCATTGTAGCTGGTGATCGCATGCTTTAATGAGAGACAAGCCATTGCGTTATTGGGCACAATTCCCTACTGCAAACTTTATAAGAACAGTTTGTCTGAAAATGTCCTCAGTGTGTTGAAGAGGGGTGGAGTTATTTTAAGCAATCGAAGTCGTATAGCAGATGTGGCCCGGTTTTAAGAGGTCAATTTCGACAGAAAATAGAGAATAATTTTATGACAGGGAAATTATGTTGAATTTGCCTAGTACTTCAAAATAAATTAGCAACCGGTGTATAAGTAGCTAGCAGCATTGGACAACGGGGAAATTATTCAGGCTATGCCCCTCATAATCCTACACTAACGCCAGCTAGTGGAAATATTGAAATATATCAGCCACCCTCATGCAAACATTTGCCTATATTTGTTGAGCGTATTGTTCGTTTTGTATATCAAATTTGTAGAACTGGCCAGAAGTCCCCGATTTGCATGGTGTTGGACATATTAAAAGAAAAAGATTATGCTTGAAGATTAAACGGTGACGTACAGTGTATGTCGGAGACCAGATTGACATTATTAATATTGCCATTATATCATCGATTCTAACAGATTCCCAGTACCAATGTTTCTGTGTAAAAAATAATACTGGAAATTCGGCATGTAATCTGGTGGGAACAGGGCGTAAAATAAACTAAATCTTGATAATATATATTCATTTCGTGCACAATGCAATTCGATTTTCTTACAACGTCTTGGGATTATGGTTATTATTCGATGGAAAACCGTTCCTGCAATTTTGTAACGACTTTTTTCAGAATCAGAATAGTTGAACTGCAAACATAATGTGATTCATAATGACCGTTTATTTTCAGGAGTGTCGCGTTTAAACGAACTACTATCTCTATAACTTACAGCGCAATCTGTGATAAACTAATGAATTGAATTGAATATTTCGACTAATTAAACACAGCGAACTCAGGGCTACAATTTACTCATAAATGCTATAATATGAGAAAAAATAGTATAAGAACGACAGTCTGATTTCAAATGATGTCGCGTTTTTGATATAATTCAAAACATAGTAAACAGGATTACATCAAAATGCAGAATTGTGACGTGTCTGTAGTGCAAAATAGTTTCGCAATCTTGTTCCACTACTACTCGTTTTCCTGTCTTGTACGCTTTAATAACATTTCAATGACAGATTACATTTTTTTTAAATATCAGTAGATATATATAATAACATAACATAACAGAAAATATCAAAATGTACTTTTATATAACCAGGTTGAGACATATAATAAATTCGAAGCGATACTTCGCAGAGAAATGCAAAAATAAACTATTAAATATAGTGTTACCAAATATAATGACTTGTAAGCTCATAAGCTTGTCTAATTTTAAGCGGGTTTCGATTTTCAGGTTATTTCTTTTCGTTTCAATTCATACTAGTATACAACCGTAGCTGCCTATATCATCCATACTTGTCACTTCAGAAAAATCTAATAATTTATATCTTCGGATATTGATCAAGAAAATGTTTGCGTTCCGGAATAATCACGATTACTTAGTGGTGAGTGTAAGCCATGTGTGGTTGACAATTGCTATTTACAAATCTAATTTAGTGGTAGTCTGGTGATAGGAGCCTGGTCATTCATTATATATAGAACAACGACACACCATTGGTTAAAGCGTCTAGTCGTCAGATGACGTATGTGCAAGGATGAAATTTAACAAATTATCGCTGTTGTCAAAACACGCATAGGGTCTAGTGTGGATTACATGACAGTTTAATTACATTGAAATGCCGATATTGCTAAGATCAGTAGGAGCGAGAGAGAGTAAATTAAACAATTATTCATGATTTAACCAGTGCGTGTAATCAATGCGCCATTCAACCATAAAGTATACGAGATATTCATTTAAATGCTAAGATGATAGTTATTAATATGATGGGAGGGTTAAAACGAGTTCACACTATCATTCAGAGTGTTACTAGAGAGAGACCACGAACGGGAGTTAGGACATTGTGAGGCAGGTTAAGTTTACCTTGGTGTTATTATTGGTTATTAGTTGTTGGTTTTTTTTCAGTTCACTTACAATTGGAGTAAAGAAAATACAGAATATGCAAAACATGCAGATGCATTATATTATATTATATGAATCGAAGAATACATTTGTTTACAGGGACAAGTAAATTACGAGTTTTATTCAGTCAGAGTAAATGGGCTCTTTTTTTTTTGATATTGTGTGGGTGACAAAACAACGTACTTGATCAGTGGCATGTAGTATAAGTATGAATTGTTCACAAAACTATCGTTTACAGATTCGCTGCGATAGTACAAATACTATTATAATTATTATTGTTATATAAAAACATCTAAATAATGTATTTCAGTATGAAGTTACAAATAAATGTATTAGCGCATGCGCAATTAATACAAAATACAAATTGATTTCATTTGTTTTCAAAACATATATTACAAATTGCTCCAGAATTTCACCAAATTTGTCGGCGTCATTATTTCGACACTGATCTTGTTCATGCGTTGTTTTGTATGAAACAAGATTTTCCGCCAAATATCACACTGTATAGCTATCGTATAAATTATTTATAATTCAATTATCACTAAAAATATAAAATACGTAAGTGTGTTAAAATGATTAACAAAAACCGCAATGACATCACGGTCATACATTGGACGATGGTATGTTGGGTAAATGTTCCACGGCTTGATCGGGCGATTCCATGAAATGTTCCAAGACGCCTTTCCGTCGAGTTCCTCGCGAAGGAGACTCCGCATCGGAGAACATGCTCATAGAAAAATTTCCACTCAGTTGTGGTGGACTCGGTGTGGTTTCCGGCGCCATTTGTTGTGAAGAATCGTGTTTTCTCAGTGGCAAGGTCAAAGGTTGATGGTAAGTTGGAAGACGTTCATGGGAATCATTTTGACTTTTAAAGACAATTGACGAATGTTGACCACTGCCGATGCTGGAATAACTCTTAGCCGCCGCGCAGTTGTCCAATGTGGGGACGTCTTCGCTGTTTTTGCTAAAACCTCTTGAGAACGACGGTGAATCGAATGATCTGCTATATTGATTCGAGGAAACACTGTCGACCCCACCTTCGCTGAGTGAGCGTAACCTTGACAGTTTTAATTTTGTAACTCCCCCGGATTCTGTCCATGTATCGTCGTCTGCAAGCGCACTTGCCGAGTTGGTTACTAGAGTCTTCTCGCCTATAATTCGTTGTGTGTCAGTAGTACGCTGACTACTCTGGGAAAAAATCTCCCGAGGTACGGTACTGGGCACATGTGCAGCGTGTATGCTACTCACGCTAGCATTAGAATCCAAAGATACCGTCCTTTGTCGCAGATCATTCCCGTATCTTTTTCCAAAATCTTTTTTACTGAGATCTTCCAAGCAAATTATTTCCGGGTGCTTGTTGCACGCCGCTTTTTGATTTTCCCCTCTACTCGTCCAAACAGTGTACGCTTCTACAGAGTGCGAGTAGCAAGCTGTGACAATCTCCGATACGGCGCTAATTTGTTCATCCCCCGATTTGTTTTCCTCACCTTCATGTTCACATTCCGGTATCATTTTGGTAAGCTCATTTGTGTCTTCCGCCGCCACCTCGTTCAAGTTATTATTCGACACGCCTTCCCCCAGAAGCGCGATATCGCTCTGTGAATACCGATATCGATGAGGCGACGATTTCGTCGAAGCCAGATCTCGTTCGATCGCCCTCATTAGGCTAATCTGTCGATTAGTCGACTTTCGTTTTTTCATTGATTTGCTAAACATTGAAAACTTAGCATTATTTTGTCTTGACGGGTGTACCATCACAGTTGGCTTCCGTGACGATGGGCGTCTATCTACCAACCAGTCCTTGCTGTCTAATTGACTCCTATAAATTGTAAAAAGAGAGCAATTTGCAATAAATCATGTCCATCACAACAATAGAATGCATAAGACAGAGAAACATACTTTGCTGATAATTGTAAAACATCTTATTCGAGTACTAGTGGTCTGTAGTTAAAATTCATGTTTTTTTTCTCGTTGACAAGTGTTCGCATTTGTGAATTGGTGTCGCTGACGGGCAATTTCATCACTTGTAGCGAACCCTCTAACGCCCTCAACGTAAAAAAGCGGGAAGCAGCAGCCACATTTGTCTTTATATTTTAAGATAGATAAATCACAATGCACCCCATAACATAAATAGTCTTTCTTTTTTTACTGAAGCACCTCAAACAATAATTTAACTACAAAAGTTGTTGAAATGCAATGACTATGCTTACCTAGGCGTGTCCTGGCTCCCAATGCTATTGAATGGCTTAGAGTCGCCAACGTGCATGCGCACAAGCGTCGATGTCGTCATAGAACTCCGGCGATTCCGTTCCGGCTTGAACAGAATAATATAAGTCTTTTGAAAAAATAAACACGCCAGTGCCACAGTGGCGCTCAGACTCACGGCGAAGCAAACAACAATTGTCCTCATCTCATTACTCCCAAAATACAAAGGTATAAAGGCTAACCAAATTATGCACGTAGTGTACATGGTGAAACCGATGAACTTGGCTTCGTTGAAGTTCTCCGGCACGTTGCGCGTTTTAAACGCGTAAAAAGTACACATTGCAATTAGGAAGATGTCGAATCCAAGAGGCGCTATCATACTCAGCGTGCTCGTATTACATTCCAGTTTGACCCTTTTAACCGACGGATACGTGTAGTACGCCTCCGGTGGCTGTATAACCAACATAGCAATGATGATTCCCAGTTCGATGGATATGATCATAAAGGTTATTATCACCTGAGCCGTAGCAGACATGAATCTGGGTTTTCTTGTACATATTTTCTTCTTGCTGCCTGCCAGAATTCTCGCTATTCGGTTGGTTTTGGTCGCGAGTGACGCGTAACAAACGGAAAAAGACAGTCCCAATCCGATTCTTGATAAGTAACACACGGGCACCGAGGGTGCGGTTAATAGCGGAAAAGTCATCAGATAGCACATGTATATACCAGTCAAAAGAATGTAGCACAGTTCGCGACTAGACGCTTTGACCAGTGGTGTCTCGTGGTTTTTGGCGAATATTGAAGTGATGAAAGTCGTCATTATTATTCCAACACATGAAAACACTATGGCGGCAATTGCTTCCGGGTCATCCCATTTCAAATGCTCCACGGGAATTCGTTCACATCCTATTCGGGGACAAATTTAAATGAATTAATTCAAACCCGAAATGATTGGCATGCATTTTGCAATTTCTGATAGGAGATGTGAGGCCTTGCATGACACAACATCACCAAAAATACAAATACACAATAATGAACTTGAAGTTCAACGCACAATGTTATATACAAATATATCGCCGACCGAGCGTGTGAATTGTTTCTTCGTGTCAGAAGGTCAACATTGCCTTCGCGCATGAGCAGTCAGACCACTATTAGGATTAGGGGGTCAGTCATTTGAAATTATTGGTGTGACTGAAAGAGTGTAATATATGTACACGTTTACTTTTATTGAGTGTGTCAATATTTCTTCTCTGTAACACCTCTATGCTGTCGCTGTCTACTTTGCAAATTTGTTTTTATTAAATCTTCCAGCCCCCAGCCTCCCATTGTTTTCAATGATCGTCCCTTATAATATTTATATCATATGACTCTCGGTCGATATACGTGGCATTTAATCTCTCCCAAACCATCACATACGTCGACGGTTACATACAAACTTCTTCATACCGCAAACTATCAAAGATGTTTTTTGTTCTAAACCCAGTATCGAATCTGCGCGTAAATAGAGACATGCAATACACCTCATTGCCTGTTTAGATGAATGTCTCGCCTTCGGCGTCGCTTGGCTTACCTGTTAGCGTCCCATTTGGCCACCATCCTTTCCTACAAGCAACACAGTTGAACTCGTCCAAAAGGTATTCGTTGTCTTTACAAGGGGTGCATACCCAGCAACATTGTGTGTTTTGTATATTCTAAATAAAAAGCAAATGATAATTGCATATCATACCAGATTTAACAATGACAATTATTTTTTTAAATATTTCAAAAATTGCACTATGATTATGAGTTATCCAGAACAAAAAAAATGGTGTTTGTGTATGATTGAATGAAATAAAATCTAGCGCATGCGCTATGAATTAGCCGTACCACTAATTAAAGCGGGAGGGTCGTCAACTGCGCACGCGTGGGAATTGAGTCTCAAGCGACGATAACACACACTAAAAACGCAAAGGCTCACGGGTAGACGCATGTTTGTAAACAATCACGCTATGACCATCTGACGCGTGCGCAGGTCCAGCTTTGAACGAAAATTGCTTACATCATACACGTGCATTATGTCCACTATCGCGCAACTCACCTTGATTTGACCCATTGGACAAGGAGGACTGCAAAGTGACGCCACTACGTCTCTTCGGCCTTTATTCCACATCATTGTATCGTCATCAATTGTAAGCGTACCGTCGGCCCACTCCCCGACCTTAACGTAACCATGTTGCCTATCCCTTGCATCAAAGTTTTGAAAATTAAATATGTCGTATCTGTAGAGAGAGAAAATTCTATTTTCACTTTTCAGGTTTTTAAAACTGAGCTATTCGACACCGTAGAGCAAAACTATTGTTGAATATGTCAGGCATCGGAATTCTTACCGATTCTCGATTGGTTCTATTAATAGAAGACTTGAATTTGCCTTCTCAGAATAAAATTGACTTGAAAATTTACTCCCTAAACAAGTATACTGTCAGTTTTTTCTGAAAGGCGCACACGAGCGAGAGAGCATGTTATTTTACTGACCTGCCTGGCGGATCTCCGTTTTCATCAAACTTAATCAAGTCACCAGAGTAACCATAAAAGGACACATTAAACATGTACCGTAGAAGGGCTTCGCCGTCTACGGGTTTCATTGCCGAGCACAGTCCCTTGGAATTCGCTGGACACAGGTCCAGGTACATGTTGTGCAGTCCATGTGCCATGGTGTAGATCGCGTCAATAATGAATCCCATTTTTGTGTCTTGCACATAACCCGTAGATAGGTTTTCATATCCTGTATTGTCATAGTAATAAGAATGTGTCGGAATGTGTAGGAAAGGAAAGATTACTAGAATCCAAAACATTTTGCCAACAACACTTTTAGCGAATGCGACACCCGAGCGTTATCGCCATACACAATTGTGGATAATCATGCTTGAGTTCAAATTACCTGTACATTGTTCTTCTAGTGAGAAATCTGCATCTTCGTCTTTGAAATGGCAGTTAAACCTCTCTTCCCAAAATTCCCGGAACCATGGATTCCTGGTGTTGTTATATGGGTTCAGCTTCAGATAATATCGATCAAATTCTACAACATTCGACGATTTGGGTTTGATCGTGACACCGCCAACTGCTTCCGGTTCGTACCCACTGACGACTGTGTGTCTGTCCGCCCAGCCGTCGCTGAAATGGTAACGAAACAAAACAAACTTTAATCTCGTCGCCGCAATTGTTGAGTGAGTTGTGCAACTGTTCATCTGTCACGGATTATTTCAACAATGCGCAATGGGGGATGGGGGCTGCCGTTCGATATAATAATAGAGACATATTAGCAAATGTTTTACCACTTTTAACAATAGCAACGTTTTAATTAATATTTAAGATCAAGAAATAGATTATTTTTTCAAACCATGTCACAATAATAAATGTATATACATGATGAATGTTCGCTAAGTATGTAACTATGTGACGGTTTTCAAGATGTTCCACGTTTCTAAAACGCGCACCACTGCGCCATTTATTTCTATAGCCTCTGCACGAGCTGGTGTGGAACGCCGGTCGGTCAACTTTGAAGTAATCCCGAGCAACCCAAAACCATACATGTTGGACATGCAGGCCCGGGGGTGATCTTGTTACACTGTTCAGGGGAGTCTCAACAACCATCCCAAAGTACGTTTTGCTAATAGTTTTCAACCTTTGTTTTCTCCGCCCGGATGTCCGCCCCCGAGGATACAATGTAAGTATACAATGCTGTCTCGTGCGGGCGTACTTTAAAGATTGCGTTGATAAATAACGAACAAATGTCATATTCATCATATATTGCCCCAAACCTACCTTCCTATAAAGACAAAATTTCCAGACACTCCAAGTCTCCTGCTTGCAGCGAGAAGACCGGTTATGGTTTCACCCTCGCAGAAGCACGCCACCACCGTCGCCGATTCGGTCTTCATCAAGCTCAAGATAACGTGTTCGAATTCCTTATCTTCGGCGTTGCTAAATACCTTGTCAGAGGTAGCGATACAAATGCCGGATTGCTCAGCCAGTGTTTTAAAAGCTTCAATGCCGCTAGCTCCGTAGTTACCTTGTAATATGTAAATAGGAAGTGTATCCCACATTAGTACATATAATGTATATACTACATTTGGCATGATGCGCTCACGTATCTAGTTCAATATATTGCTGTCTAATTCTGGGCAGTATCACAGACGTACACTGTCTTCAATTGACCCAATGCGTTTTTCACGCAGAAGTGACAAAAGTTAAAGCGGGGGAGTCGTCACCTGCGCATGCGTCAGGTGGCCATAGCGTGTCATTGTTTACAAACAAGCGTCTACCTATGAGCCTCTGCGTTTTTAGCGTGTGTTATCGTCGCTTGGGACTTAATTCCCGCGAGTGCGCAGGTGACAACCCTCCCGCTTTAAGAAAGTAGTATCATTTCAAATCTATAAGTGGTCATTGGCATTCCGGGTAGTACGTGATTATATAGATAAATCAAGCGATGACTGAAAAGTTTAGAACACTATTTGGGGGCAAAATAAATCTCGTTGCTCTCGCGCTATAAATGAGTTCTCGGCGGTCATTTGGGTCGCAAAAAATCTACTGAATAATTGCTAAACAGATGGCATAGTTTTCCTTAGTATCGATGTCATGTATACATTTACAGTGAAAATGCTGTAAACGTTGAATAATTCATATTCTTATGTGATTTGAATTACAGTTGGTGTTTAAAAGCCTATTTAACATCGACATTTGTCTACAACTGTTTATATAAGTTTGCCTGCTCAGATTAAATCATTATGTGACCAAAATGTACATTTTGTTTAAATTTCATTCAGTTTTCAGTCATTTTAACAGAAATGTATTTCATAAATTAACGTGTTAATTCACATAATAAATAAATAAAACAGTTTTTCGATGAATAGCTTTCTGACCCGGACAAAATAATACGCTTCGAGGCCGGGTAAATAACGTTTTGGTCTTCTTTGAAGTTGTGTGATTGTCTTTACTGTATATATTGTATAATTGAAAAAAAAATATGTTCGCGAGCACTCATAGCAAAACAAAAACAAATCTGTATCTACTTGCTATAAACAAGATACAGTATTGACTTCGCCAATCGTTGAGATTTAGTCCGAAGCAAAAAGAGAGAAACAGTTTTGAGATGCGGTAGATGTATATAAAGAATGAGGTGGATATCGTATTAGCAATTGATTTATAATAGCTCATTTGGGATTTGAAAGCAATCAGATTTATTACCGGAATCAATGATTTCGTTTAGTGTTTAACAGTCTCACAGTAACCGATGAAAAAAAAAAAAAACGTTATCGAATCCGCGGAATAGTCTCGGTGCTATTAAAGGTAACGATTAAGAAACACATTCAATCAATGTCAGGAGGGGATACGAGCAATTGTTACTGTAGTAACAAAACAAAAACTTTACCCGCATCAAAACACCCATGTTTAAAACTAGATCGCGTGTTATTGTTTGTATCATTTCAAAGTAATCAATAGTAATTGATTCATTGTGAGTGTTTGGAAACAGAAGTCAGTGTGGTCTAGTACGCTCCATTTTTTGAGAATGTAAAACGCCGCTACTTTTGTCTGAATATACTCCGACAAAATACGCATTGCTCATACATTTTAATTGATTTTATCAAACATAAATCCAACCCCTGGAATTCCAAAACAAATATTGTACGGCAATGTGTTACTAGCTTATATATAATCCTTGTATACGTCATTGTATGATCAACAAAATGAACGAAGCATATGGGAAAACATGCGATAATCACATTTCTCCCGAACTGAAAACTGCGATAATTTCATCCGTTCCGTTACTACGATTTCAAATTGATTTGCGACCAATTACTTCCGTTTCGCACACTCCTACGTTCTGGCTGGCGTTGATCGATCGGCTGTAGCGCGACTGCGTTTGGTCGTTTAGATTCACTCAAGTGAACACGAATCCGTGATTTAATTTCCTGCGGGGATTGTTACTAATTGTAACGGCTTCCGATATTTGGTTTTTTTCCTTATTTTGGATTTCTTTGCAGTCAAATATGTTTGCATTAATCTTAGCGTAGCTAACGATAAGCGGTGCATATCGTGCTAACACGCATCAAGAATGTCTGAGTTGAGCATATAACCCCTGTTCACAAAATAAAGTAATACTCCGTTCCAAGAAGCTCTCTAAAAATAAAGCGCCTTTGTGACGTAAATGATGCCGCTCACAGAGTTATGTTTGATGTCTGTAGATAAAAGAATAGTGTTTTTCACAGATTTACTGTGATTTATCAGATGAAATACTGCACAACAAAATATATAAAACTGAAAGACGTGGCTACATCTACGCCATTATGACGTCAAAGAAGCGTTTTGCCTCGAGAGGGCGCGACTTTCTGGAACAGGTATACACCATCTCTGCTGATAAAACACATAAAGATCGATTTCTACTTTTTGTAATTATGCAAGGACACACTTGGATGGGCTATTGCGTAATGCCCAGCTAAGCCACAGATTATGAGAATATTGATAACAAAATTAGTTTTGATTGTCATCCCAGTGTAAAAGTATCAGGGTTATATAGTGTCGTCAAATGGTGAAGCGACATGAAGCGACCGACAGTTAAGGTGTATTTATGTGTTTGTTATTTAGATGCAGTTTGTGTGTTTGGTGTTCGTGTTTGGTGTGATTGTCGTATACTATTTGTAAATACAGCGCAAGTGTCTTATAATTGCGCTACAATATTGATCTAGCAATGCTAGCGGTAAAAGTGTGAACAGAAATATTTTAAACTTTGAATCTCTTCAGCGTAGGCAGTTATATAACTCCAGTCAGTACCTTTTTGAAGGCGATAATACTTGTGTTAATTCTGATATGTTTTTCTTATCCAAGTTGTGGACTAATTGTATACGTTGTATGTATTAGTGTTGGTGTCTGTGGTGTATTTTATGGAACTTTGGCCTGAAATATAGGATTAAATAAAAAAAATCGAAAATTGAAAAAATAGTTGAAATATCATGCGAATTAGAATATGTTGAATACAGCCTGTGACGAGAGATTACCTAACTATTTTATTGAACATTTAGTGTCTCGTTAGAGGAAAATTCGAGTCATCAAAAGGTTTATTTGTACAGTCGAATCCGGTTAACAAAAATAAAGAGCTAATATTACTGGATTTGTCAATAACTAGAACCAATTAGGTAAGATGAAACCTTACCCAGGCCGGTGACAGACATGACAGTGAAATTTAATATATAAAAATGTTGGCGTGATGTATACGACACGTTGTGTTTCAATGGATAGTGCTGTAGCTGTGTCCATTTCACTTTTTTATTTTTATGTGTCTCATTCGTCACAGTTCTGAATGGTATATATTGTGTTCCACATTGAATTTGACAAAATATACGAGAGAACAAAAAAAAAACTTTCTCGCAATCGTGTTATTCTGGTAGAAATCTGCCATATTGTTTACAGATGACATATACGCCGTAATCTATGTCAGTTTCATTCAACAAACCCTCTCCAGTCAAAATATTCCATCGTGCTCTGTAATAGCAAGTCGTAAGGCAGATGTTGTGTGATTGTTGCGAAGATGTGTTATAATTTGCGTTTGTTTCGTGTTTGAGTATCGCAAACTACTGTGAATTGACTTTATTAGTGTTTGAAGTTGACGTTTTTTTTTTGTTTTTTGTTTTAAATAAAATACTTTGTATTGTAAATGTATAGATGATCGATTCGGCGTAAAGTGATGACACCAACCCATACCAAGTAACGGCTCATTTGTACCTGTGAATACCATATACCGGTATATGTATATAAGTGAAACGAAAGCAGGGAAATCACAACAACCATGAGACAAAATAAGTCGCTTATAATACGACTGCTCAAACAGTGACAGACATGTTGTTAGCAATCAATATAATATTCGTATAGTCTTTTGAACGGGCGACGCATAAATTTATCAACACTGTAGTAAACCCCTATATGTTATATATATCAAAGAGTTGCCTATCAAACATTGACATCGTTTCTAATAGAAAAGCACGTACTTCCTGTGACTTTTAACCTTACCAATCAATGTCTGTAATTAACCTAGGCTGCTGTGCATTACACTCGGACACCCAAAGTCGATATTACTCTCATTAAACTACCAGTTAAGTAGACCGTGCTGTGTTTTTTTCTTTACAGAAACCAATAATATATTATTATAGTGATTGAGCCTTTGAAATAGATTTCACCCGAACCGTAAATCATGCGTAATATTAATAATCATTCTTTCTAATTGTATATTTATAAAACGCATGCATAATAAATACTTTTAGAGCATATACAATACAACAACAGAGTATATAGATGGTGACAGTACATTAAAGTTACCAATTTATTTTTTTGTATTATCAGTATCCGATCGAATGTATTTTCAAGTTGGATATAGTAAAGCATCTTCGTTAAGGCAATAGGACTACGAGGTTGCTAGTGCGTGCGATGAATATTGAACTACGTTTATCTACCAAATTTAGTTAAGGGACAACGTCGTGTATATCAAGTTAGTGTGGCATGTCACTATTTAGAATTTGTTCTGAGTTGATATCGCCTGCGGCTGCGTATTACACTTATTCATTCATTCATTCATTCATTCATTCATTCATTCATTCATTCATTCATTCATTCATTCATTCATTCATTCATTCATTCATTCATTCATTCATTCATTCATTCATTCATTCATTCATTCGCTACAACAGCAATATCAATATAAACACGTGTATATGCTGTAAAACATGTCTTTTTAACTAGAATGTTATTTTAGCTAATTTAGCTAATCTGTAATTTCGCTAATTAAAGATGTCACTAATTTAAAATAAAGTATATTCTAACGAGATCGTTGGCATTAAAGCTAAATTAAGATTCAGTTAATTTATGCATAGAGTCAAATTCATTAAATTGGCATGTAGCTATTTAAACATGTTTAACAGTTCTCATCAAGTAATTCAATATATCCCGTATGTGTACACGAATCCAGATACACAACTATTTTCAAGTGTGTCTGAATATAATGTTAATGTGTTATAAATATGA